TGTTCACATGGTTGTCCTTCACCTAGTGTTCTGCTAATCCTATTCAGGATGACTCGAGTGAATAGTTTGTAGATGACAGACAATATTAATTTTTATAATAGTGTATATCTTTTGTTTTGTAGATTTTTGGAGTGGGACCATACCTAGCAGTGCTCAGGGATTACTCCTGGCTGTGTATATGGGGCTATACTTGGTGGTGCTTTAAGAACCATATATGATACTGGGATTTGAACCAATTGCAAGCGTTTTAACTGTCATACTACTTCTCTGGTCCCTTTTGTAGACTTTTTTTAACCCTTATGAAAATAACATTCTTTTTAACCCTACATGTTCCTCTTTGTAGATAGAAACAGAGTACTATTTTCAAGTCAATTAAAATAAGTATTTTCTCCCTATAGTCATGTCACCAATTAGCAATATGGTTGTTTCTGTATATCTATTTTTTTTAATGTTCATCAAATGACCATTTATTTTATTTACTCTTAATGAAAAGTTAAGCATGCAAATTCATCACTGTTACAACAATGATAAACAAATGCAGAATCATTATATTCATTTACAATAAACTTAGTTATCTGGTACCCTCAAGCATCTGAGTGGCACTGAGCTCAGAAGTAAGAAAAATAAAAAATGGAAGTGTCTTTCTTTGGAAAAATTTTCTAAATCCATTTGTGTCATGAGCAAGGACAGATGAAGCAGTGACACAGTAATGAGTATTCTCTCAAAATTAAGGGCAAGGAAGACTCTGTAGGAGAGGGATTCTAGTAAAAAAAGTAGACTTTCCACCTACAATCTGAAAATCATAGGTGAAGTGAGAGGTGAGAAAGAAATAAAAAAGGAAAGAAGAGATATCAGAAACAAGAGTAATGATTAGATGACAGTATCAGCAATTTCATATATATGTTGTAAGATAGTATATATTATATATATTGTAATATTGTATGTATATACGTGTAGATATGTCTATTTGTATATAGACATGTATACAAACACATACACATATGTATGCACACATATACATACTCATATAATGTATGTATATATGTATATATACATATATGTGTATGTATATTATCTATCTATCTATTTATCTATCTTACATCTGGCAATACTCAGGGCTTATTCCTGGCTCTCTACTCAGTGATAATCACTCCTTGCTGGGTTTAGGGGACCATATAAGGAACCAGGAATTATATATGAGTCAGCTTCATGTAAGGTGAATACCCTATCTGCTATACTATCTCTCTGACCCTCATAATATAATTTTTTGAATATGTCCAAACTTTCTACAAATTTATATACTCAGAAAACTCAGTGTCATCTCTTTTTCTTTTGACCTATCTTTCATTCCACATATGTAGGTCACTTGATCACTTGACATCCCATTACTCATCGATTTGCTTGAGCAGGCACCAGTAACGTCTCCATCCGTCCCTGTCACATGCTAGTGTAGCCCAATGGCATCTGCTCGTTCTAGGAACACAAAGAGCCTCAAACCGATCGTTCAGGGTCTTGACGAAGAAGTCTGACCATCTCGTAGGTGGGTGGCCACGCGATCTTTTGATGTCCTGTGGAATCCAGCTGGTAATGGCTCTAGTCCAGTGGTTGTCTCCAAATCTCATTACATGTCTAGCCCATCTGATTTTCGATGATTGGCAAACAAGATAGCATCCCTGAATCTGGATTGTCGACAGAGTTCGGAACTCCAGATTCTTTCTCTCATTTGAGTGAAAGTAAATACATATGTAGGTATCAGTGTTATTTTTGTTGTTGCTATTCTCATTTTAATTTTTAATGTTAACTTTTGGTATATCCCATGTATCTTTCTTTCAAAAAAGGACATGAATGTATATTTTTGTTTTGATCACTGCTTGTATATAAGTATGTCTGGGAGATTAAGTCAAATGAGAAGACAGGAAGATTTCTCATTTTCTTGTTTCTTTCTTTTCTGCGTGTGGGGTTAAATCAGGGCCTCATCTATGCAAGGAATGAACTTTCCCACTGAGCCAATATTCCTCAGCTCTGTTTCTTCTGGTTGTATAGTCCTATATTATGTGTACATTTGGAACTCAGCCACTTTTAGATGTATGAATGCACCATATTAATGAAATTCTGTTAGACAATTAGTAATTCTCTCAGTATTTGTATTAATTATGTTCTAGGGCTTGCATAATCAATTGCCAAAAATAGGTGGCTTAACACAACAAGAATTTATTTTCCCACAGTTCTAAAGTTCAGAAGTCTAAATCGAGGTGTTGTTATGGTTGGATTCACTCCAAAAAGCCTCAAGGAAGAATCTTTTCTGTCTCTTTAGGTTTTGGTAGCTAAAGGAGTCCTGAGTTTTAGCTACCTAACTCCTTTCCACCTCTATCTTTACATGGCCTTCTCTGTGTCTTCTCTTCTCTTTCATATAAGGACACTTGTTAGATTTGGATCCCCCCAGATGATCCAGAGAAATTTCACCTTGAGATTCTTAATTAAAAGATCTTTTATGAATAAAAAAAGCCACATCTTATGTGTCAGAGATTAGGACTTGGACATACCTTTTTTTTTTTCCCACAGGAAAAGCACTGTTCAACTTGCTACATGGGCTTACAAGAGCAGCTAAAGGAATAAATTATTTTAAGTATTAATTTTTATAAATAGGGATTCTAGATTAATGGATAAATAGTATGCGATTTTTCAAAATTCTTCTCTATAGAAGTTTAATTTTATACTTTACATTGTAAGTTTCATATAAGTATCTTTTGGGGTGGGGTATTATACCCAGTAGCATTCCCCAGATAGAGCTGGCTGGGCTGGGAAAGGGGAGGGTTGCTGGGCGGAGGGGGGCAAACATGCGGTTCCAGGGATCAAACTCTGGGTTCCTGCATGCAAAGTATGCACTCTAGGCCTTTGGACAATCCCCCTACCATGTCACCGTCACTGTCCTCCTGTCTTTCATCTATTTGCTCTAGCAGGCCCAGTAACATTGTGAAACTTATTACTGTGTTTGGCATATCGAATACTTCACGGGTAGCTTGTGGGGCACACTGTAAGATACTCTTGGTAGCTTGCCGGGCTCTCCAAGAGGGGCATAGAAATTGAACTTGGATCGGCTTTATTGGCCTTGTGCAAGGCAAACGCCCTACCTGCTATGCTGTTGCTCCAGCCCCTAGTCTATACTTCATTATATTTATTACTGATGAAAGTGGGACATTCATTCAACAGAACTTTGATGTCTTCAAAGTACTTGATACTGAAATTTTTTTTTTTTTTTTGCTTTTTGGGTACACCCAGGATGCTCAGGGGTTACTCCTGGCTCTGCACTCAGGAATTACTCCTGGCGGTGCTTGGGGGACCCTATGGGATGCTGGGAATCAAACCTGGGTTGGCAGCGTACAAGGCAAACGCCCTACTCTCTGTGCGATTGCTCCAGCCCCAACACTGAACTTTATTATCAATAGTTTATTATTAATAAATAATAAAGAATGGCAAAGTCCAGCCGGAAGGGCATTTGCCTTGCAGCCGGCAGACCTGGGTTTGATCCCCTGCACCCCATAGGGTGTCCGCTGCCCGCCCACTCCCCCACCCCCACCCCCAGCACCTCCAGGAGTAATTCCTGAGTGCAGAGTCAGGAGTAACCCCTGAGCATCACCGGTGTGACCCACAAAGGAAAAAAAAATAAAGAAAAAAAGAATGACAAGGCAGATAGCTAAAGGTCACTGGTCCAGAAAGAAGGACTACTTTAGAGGACAGTCCTCTATGAATAAATAAATTTTTATTTATATCAAGTTTTTGAGCGTTCCATTGCATTTTCTTGCTGAGTAATACTCTCTATTTGAATATATCCCTATTTTGTCCAGAGATTTTGAGAGAGCCTGGAGACACTCAAAAACGGTGTTTTTGTATGACTGAATTTCAGCCCTTTTGTTCTATTTATCAAAACTTTATTGTTTCTAGAGGCTAAATAGTTCAGCGACAAGGACACAAACCTATGAAAATCTTTAGCTCTTTCCCCAAATTACAGTTTCGCCGAATAAGAAAAGGAAAGTTGTTTTTCCAATTTGATGGAAACCACATGATTTTACAGTCAACTGAAGTAATTTCTAGAATGTCAACTTTTGGGTATTGAAGTATTTAGGTGCCAGTAAACAAATCTAGAGCCCTCCTGAAAAAAGTCTCCACGTCGTTTTCAAAGTCTTGCTGCAGGTATCAGGCCTTACAAATCAGGGCGGCTGGACGGATGGTCAGGGCGTGCCTAGCTCTGCTGCGGGACTGCGCTGCCTCGGCACCGGTTGGAGAGTTCCTTAGAGCCGGAGGGGGCCGCCTGGGGGATCCCCTTCGGACCTCGAGCCGGTGAGGCCGGCCCAGGGCACCGCCGACTTCCAACAGCGCCCAGACCAAACGCTGCTCGGCGCCGGAGTCCCCCCGGCGGGAGAGGGGCCCCAGGCCCTGCGACCCTGCCGAGCCGTACGGAACCTGGTTCTGCGCTTCTCGCTGCGCAACAGGCCAGCAGAAGCGAGACGGGCCGCACAGGGGCTGGGGGCTGGGGCCTGGGGTCCGGGCCGGCGCGTTCTGCCGCCCCAAGCCCACCCGAACCTCGGCGACGCGGCCCAAGAGGCGCAACTACATCTCCCCGGATGCTCACGGCCCAAGCGCCGGGGGTCGTCTCGCCGCCCGACCCGCGCGTCCGGCCCGTCGCGGTGCACGCCGGGAGTCGCGGGGCGCGCGTCTTTGTGGCGCCCCGGCCCTGCGCTGGGCGCGCCCCCGCGGGCGGCCGGTGCGCGCGCGTCCTTCCACCGGGCGCGCCGGCCGCCGCTGCGCCGCGCCCCGCCCCTCGCGCGCCCGCCCCGCCCCGCCCCTCGCGCGCTCGCCCCGCCCCCCGCGCGCCCGCCCCGCCCCGCCCCGCTCCGCCCCGCGCGCGCCCGCCCCTCCTTCCTGGGGCCGCGGCCGAGGCGGCGCCGGGCGCGGGGCGGCGAGGGGCCCGCGACTCGCGCCCGCTCCCCGTGCGCGCGGTGCCTGCAGCCGGCCGGCGGCCCGGCGTCGCGCGGCGGGATGTTCTCCCGGAAGAGCCACGGCGACGTGAGGAAGTCCACCCAGAAGGTGCTGGACCCCAAGAAGGACGTGCTGACGCGCCTGAAGCACCTGCGGGCGCTGCTGGGTGAGGCGCACGGCGGGTCGGGGCGGGCGGGGGTGTCGGGCCCGCGGGGCCGCATTGTCCGGGGCGCGGGGAGCCCCCGGCCGGCCGGGCGGGGCGCACGCGGCGCCCCCCTGGCCCCGCGCCCACGGCCCCGCGCCCACGATCCCGCGCGTACGCGCCGCCCGCCCGCTGTCACTCCGGGCGCGGCTCCGCGCCGCGCTGGGGGTCCCCGCGCCGAGCCCCCGGCCCCGGTGGTCCCGCGTCGGCACCGCCCCCCGCACTTTGCATCCTCATTTATTTATTTATTTTACTTGGAGTCGCGATTCCCGGAGAGACGGAGACTCCGAGCAGTCTCGGGACGCGTGGAACCGAACTGACACCCCCTTTCCTTGGCTCTCAGTTTTTCCTGGGTCCGCTTCCTCCGGTTCCGTCCGTGGCCGCGGCGGGACGGGGCTCCCCGAGGCTGCGTGGACGCGGGGCGTTTGTCCCGGGAGGGCAGAGGGTCGCTGGCCTGCGTGCGTGTCGGTGGGGTGCGCTTCTCGACGGCGTGGTCCCGGGGAGCTGCAGATGACCTCGCGGGTGTCCACGGGGCCTCCTGTCACCTGCGGGGTGCAGTCTGTAGTTGCTTTGCTAGGCTCTATTTTGCTTTCCGTTTTCTTCCTTTCCTCCACCTCTGCCTTAACTTATGTTTAGGATCAAAACACCTTTGCTGTTTTATAGACAGACCCGCCTTTGTGCATTTGGGGTTTAGCAAAGGATCACGTTTCTCTCAGAGGTCTCTTTCCTTTTGTTGCTTGGGGTTGGGTGGGAGACTTGGAGGTCACTCCTAGGGGCGCTTTCGTTGGCGTGGACAGGGGTTACTTCCTGGGTGCCTAGGGGACCATGTGCGGCCGGGGATCCAGCCTGGGCCTCCCCAGATGCAAGACTAGCTGTGTTCTGGCCTTTCAAGCTCACCCCACCTCCACTCCCCTTTCCCCCCTTTCCTTGAAAGGATCAAAAATCTTCTGATTTAGGTTACCTAGTCTTTGTGTGTCTGTCACTTGAAGAAATACGGCATAACAGTTCATTTTGCTTGTGAGACTTTTAGATTAAGTTCTTGTTCATGAGATTAAAAGTTGCTAATTATTGCTATTTATATTCTGTGAAGTTATCTCTCAGGAAAACAACTGACAGCAACACTCTTGGTTTTGTCTAGTGGGTTATTTATAATCTCAGATTCCTTGAGATTACACTGCCTTCAATTTGGAGTGAAATGTAAATTAGTTACTGTTGAGCAGGATTTCTTTCCAGGGCTTTTGAAAGTGAAATGTGGTGTTCTTGGTAACCTGAACTTTCTACTTCCTGTAGTAAAATCCTATTAATACACAGGTGGCATTGTGTGGATTTCTTAGTAGTGACTGATTAACACTTACTGCAGGAACATTTTCGATAAAAAAGAATGAGCAGTTTTCAAAAGTATTTGATACTTGGGATCTTTTTCTGTGGCGGAGAATTTGAGCTTTTGTTCTGTCCAAGGCTGCAGGCTTAAGTTGGCTACAATTTGTAAAGTTAGAATCAATTAAACCTAGATCAGTTTTTCTTAGAGATACAACTATATTGTTTCCATTCTAAGAAAGTAGCTAGTTGTCAAGACTGTAATTGTGGTTTCACTTTAATGTGTATGTCTTATTTTGAGGAACTTTCTTTTATCATTTTATTGAGCTTATTATGACCTCAGTTTTTGTTCATCTCAATTTCTCTTTAATTTCCTTGAGTTTTTAACCTTCATTTTTGTTGATGCATTTGTTGAATGCCTCAGTTTACTTTATCACTATAATTTCCTATCCCTAGGGTAACCTACTGTCATAAATGTTTTTGAGGTGTAGTTCTAATCATTTGCTAATATAACCTTTCACTTCAGCTACGGGTGAAAGACTAACAAAAAAATGGAACATTAATGCAATAGGCCTACCTCATCACTTCATTTGTTTGCTACTTAAAAAAGAAGTCTGCTTAGGAAAATAAGTTCTCTTGAATTGAAAGATAGGAATTAGCCAAGATCAACAAAACAATTTGGAGGACATGAAGAGGTTATTATTGTATTTTTGTAGATATAAAGTAATATTACTTATAATTTTCACATGTTTCATGGGCTGGAGCGATAGCACAGCGGGTAGGGCGTCTGCCTTGCACGCAGCCAACATGGCCGACCCGAGTTCGATTCCTCCGCCCCTCTTGGAGAGCCCGGCAAGCTACTGAGAGTATTCGATATGCCAGACACAGTAACAACAAAGTCTCCAATGGAGACGTTACTGGGCCCGCTCGAGCAAATCGATACAAATATGGTTTGGGTTTTTTCTTTTTCTTTGCATCTAGTGATGATTTGATTCCACTGATCTGGATTTGCTGTTTTGTATTATTACTTTGAACTAGGTACTTTGTCTCTGAACCTTTTGAAGCCACCTTTGTAAAAGAAGGTATGGTAATGTTTACTTTGTAAAGGCTATTGTGATTAGGATGTATGACCTGCTTTAGTTTAGATTAAGTATTTAACAGTTTCCTTTCCTATTACTAATCTCCCATTATTAATAGGACAGAATATTTGTTTTGATACCTAGTCTCTTCCTTTTTTATTTTGATGAGTGTGATGAAGTTGCTTTCTCTCTTTAAAAATTAGTATTTAAGGCAACTAGCTGAGAAGCACAATTGTAGCACTGTAGCACTGTAGACTGTCTTCCTATTGTTCATCGATTTGCTCGAGTGGGCACCAGTAACCTCTTCATTTTGAGACTTGTTACTGTTTTTGGCATATCAGATATGCCACAGGGAGCTCTGCCATGGGGGTGGGATACTCTTGGTAGATTGCCAGGCTCTCTGAGAGGGACAGAGGATTCGAACCCGGGTCGGCCGTGTGCAAGGCAAACGCCCTACCCACTTTGCTATCGCTCCAGCCTGCTGTGAAAAAAAAAATCAAGTATTTCTTAGCATTGAATGTGCTAATTGCAACTGGAACTTCCTTAGCTAATTTGATGTACGTATTGTAGATTGGTCTATATTAGTTTTGTTTTGTGGTGGGGAAACTGAGGCACAGGCAGACCATACAAAGTGACCTATAGGTAGCATCTAATTGGAGGGAAAAAACAGAGCTGTTAGTTTTCCTCACTGTCAGTTCTCCTTTTATTATGGGTATAATCATTGGGAAAGTAAATGACTAAACAAAATGCAATAGAAGCAAATAATATATTGCATATTGCTATAAGTTCTGACACATATTCCTTGTCTATAAATTCCAAATTGGGTATAGAAATGACCTTGGTTTAACAAGAAAAATAGGTATTTAATAATAGTAAACATTTAGAGTATATTATAATTATATCTTGGCTAATGAGGGAGTCTGTTATAGGGGTTAAAGGGCCAAAAAGTCATTAAAAATTACGGAAAGATAGGAGCATCTGCAGCCTTTGCCTGAGTATAGGGAGGCGAAGGAAAGAAATTGTTCGGGGGAGAGGTGAGGAGAAATGGATGGCAGCAGCAGGAGGCAGAGGTGGGGGGGACGGGTTCAGGTGTCTTGATGGTGTGAAAGGATGATAAGCTAAATATCCATACCACAGACTCAGAAACACTGACAACCATACTTTTAACAGCCAGACGTGAGAGAGGTGCCTGCCAGGGTGGCATGCTGGCCAGGTGTGTAGAGAGGGTCCCTGGCAGCGTTGGTAGAAGGAAGTTCTCACTGGTGGCAGGATCAGTGTTGGAATGTTGTATGTCCAAACCCAACTATGAATAACTTTTAACATCATAAATTATGGTACAAAGGAAAAAAAATAGAAGTATCTGAAGGACGTTGTATTTATACCAGGTCTTGAAAAATGGTTAAAATAGTTCTTTCCAATAGAAATATACTGTGTAAACAAACCTGGGGCCTCATATATGCAAAGCACGTGCTCTCCTGCTGAGCTGTATCCCTGGCCCTATTGTGTAATTTTGAATTTTTTTTTTTTTTGGTTTTTGGGTCACACCCGGCGATGCTCGGGGGTTACTCCTGGCTTATGCACTCAGGAATTACTCCTGGCAGTGCTCAGGGGACCATATGAGATGCTGGGAATTGAACCCAGGTCATTCGCGCACAAGGCAAACGCCCTACCTGCCATGTTATCGCTCCAGCCCCTAATTTTGAATTTTTGAAAAGCCACATAAAAATGTAAAAGAGGGCTGAAGAGATCATATAGTAGGCAAGATGCTTGCATGCTGCAAGCCTGTGTTCAGTTCTGATACTGCATGTGGTCCCCCCATCACCTTCAGCAGTGATCCCGGCCTGAATGCAGAGCCAGGAGCAAGCCCTGAGCACTGCTGGATTTGGTCCAAACCTCATCTCCTACTGCCCCTAAAAATAAAAAAGACAGATTAAATTAATTTTAGTAATATATTTAACCTAACCAACCCCATACATCTAATATGTATAATATCATCTAGTAATATGAAGTATTAAGGTTTTTTAATTTTTTTCTTTTGATTTTGGACTATATCATGTGTACTTAAGGATCACTGCTGCTTTGTGCTCAGGGATCACTTTTGATGGGCTTTGTGGAACCTTGTGGGTGACAGGGATTGCCTCCAGTTTGGCCACATGCAAAGAAAGTGCTTTTCCCGCTATACCATCTCTCTGTTCTCTGTGTTTTAGATTGTTTAAATGAGGTATTTGAAATCCAGCTGTACACTTACAGCATATTTCAGTTTAGATTAGTCTGATTTCAAGTGCTCAGTCCCTTCATAGCTAGTGGCTACACATTGAGCATTCAGGGCTCGACTATGGAGAAGTAGAGAGGAAGGCAGTATGACTGAGAGAAAATGGAAGTGGAATGGATGGAGCCATGATGTAGGAGAGTGAGGAGCACCAGATTAATGTTTCCTCTGGTTCAGGTGGGAAAACAGTGAGGGCGTTATTAGGCACTGAGAATGAGGTGCTAAAAATCTTGCCTCGGGAATAACCAGTGTAGGTCAGAAGTAGGACAATGACAGGGTTGGAGAGAGTGAGGTGTGTG